ACGTGCTTCTTCATTCAATCAACTACAGGAGACCAGATGGGCAACACCTGCCCAAAAGCAAAGATAAGAAGGCATGAAGGGGCAGGAAAACTGGATGAATGGACACAGGAAACCCAGGGTGGAAAGGGAGTGGGGGAGAGTACTGACCAAAAAAAAAAAAAATGTGTCTAAGAACCCCAGGTCCCCTCTTTAACTACTGAGCTGTCTGTCCACAAACTGCATATGCCCCAATTCAACCTTTCCTTGCACCTGTGTCCTTCCAGTTGCCTGTCTAAGGCTAGCGCTCAGAGAGTCCATCCCTGGCTTACTGTCCCTGCTCAGTGTGGGACATGGAGGTGGTGAACCCAGACACACCTGCTCACCTGAGCTAGGTTTGCATCTCCTGCCTGGACATCCCTCCACACAGAGAGGAGGCAGCTAAGTGCACTGGAAGAGACCTTAACAATCATTTCCAATGGGTCTCACATTTTATTTTAATACATATTTTTTTAATACTTTCTTGTTTATAATATATCAACCCTCATTTGAATTTCCTATCCTTTAAAAGCCAAGCCAATTCTTGGAAGATCTTCAAATCCTCAAATACCTAACACAGGTATTTTAAAACCAGGAGGCTACAAGTCCTCGTAGCTCAGATGACCTCTTGTCCTAAAATCGACTGTAGACCAAAGTGGTCAACTCATCATTCTACTATTATTGTATTTTATTCCTTAATTATACTTCATGCCTGTTATTTTAATGATTCCCCTTAAAATAAATTCCTATTACAGAAGTGCTTCAAATGCTGGGCACTTCCCAGTCTGTATGTTAGATTCCTTCCCAGATGTCTGGGGTACTGATCCAGGTGCATTTGCCAAGGTGATGCTATTCAAAATGTGGTCCAGGGGTGAATAGGTAGAGCACAGGCATTTTTAGGGCAGTGAAACTATTCTGCATGATGCTGTAATGGTGGACACATGACCTTATGCCTTTGTCAAAACCCATAGGACTATACAACATGAATTGTGAACCCTAATGTAAGGAGCCCTGGTGGTACAGTGGTTAAGGTACTCAGCTGCTAACCAAAAGGTCGGTGGTTCCAATCCACCAGCTGCTCCACAGGAGAAAGATGTGGTAGTCTACTTCCATAAAGATTATGGCCTTGGAAACCCTATGGGGCAGTTCTGCTCTATCCTACAGGGTTGCTGTGAGTTACAATCAACTCGACAGCAATGGATTTGGTTTGAGTTTTTTTGGAGTGAGGGCCTGTCCAGGCAGGAGATGCAAACCTGGCTCAGGTGAGTAGGAGTGTCAGCAAAAACAAAGGTTACCCTTCAAGAGATGGGTTGACACATTAGTCAAAACAAACAACCATGTAAATAATGGACTTTGGTAATAATAACGTGTCAAAATTCGTTCACCAACTGTAACAAACGTACCACATGAATGCAAGATGTTAATAATGGGGGAAACTGTATGTAGGGGGTAATATATGGGAACCTCTGAGCCCTGGTGGTGCAGTGGTTAAGTGATATGGCTGCTAACCAAAAGGTCAGCAGTTCAAATCCACCAGCTGCTCCTTGGAAACCATATGGGGCAGTTCTACTCTGTCCTCTAGGATTGCTATGAGTCAGAGTCGACTCCACGGCAACGGGTTTGGATCTTCTTTTGGTACTTTCTGAGCATTTTTCTATAAACCCAAAACTGTTCTAAAAAATAAGGCTTATTGAAAAAGAAATGTGGCCTGCAGACTGCTGAGGGTGCACACACTGTTAGCCTTGGTGATGGAACAAGGAGCTGGCCCAGAACGTACATCATCTGGCATTCCGCTGACATTTTTCTTCTTGATGAAGGAGCAAGGCATCCTGGCACAACCTATCTCATCCTGGGCTGGCTCTGATAGCACAGCAGCCCTGCTGGGAAGAGGTTCCTCCGCTGTAAGAAACTTAGTCGCCCCTGCGCCAGCTAACACTCACCAGAGCCGCCTCCCCTAGTTTAGCGGAGCCCAGCACAGACTGAGTAAGTGCTGTTTCATTGGTGGCCTGGGCAGCCCATTGGTGACTCAATTGATCTTCCTCTCCTTTGGGGTTGTTATTGCTGTTAGCTGCCTTTGAGTTGGCTCCAACTCATGGATGCCGCATGTGCAACAGAACAAAACACTGCCCAGCCCTGTGCCTTCTTAACAGTCGTTGGTATGCTTGAGTCCGTTGTTCTGGCCACTGCGTATTTTGAGTGCCTTCCAACCTAGGGGCTCTTCTTCCAGCACTATATCAAATAATATTCTGTTGTGATCTAGGATTTTCATTGGCTGATTTTCAGAAGTAGATCACCAGGTCTTTCTTCCAAGTCTTTTAGTCTGGAAGCTCTGCTCAAACCTGTGAACCATGGGTGACCCTGCTGGTATTGGGAATACCAGTGGCATAGCTTCCAGCATCATAGCAACATGTAAGTCACCACAGTATGACAAACTGACAGATGGGTGGTGGCTCCTTTGGGGTACACGATCAATATTGGAACAATTTTAAAATGGTTACAATAAATACACCAACTATTTCAATTTTCCATATTCCACTTCCACTATGTTTGCCTATGAATATATATTATTATAATCAAAACATAGCTACAATTCCTCATTTTCCTTTTGTCACTTAACATTATAATATAAATATTTGACTTTCTTATTGGATTCTTTTAAATGGCTGTATAAGGTTCCAGTAAATTATATATAATTACTTACTTAGTCTTTCCTTTATTGCTGGCATTTGAATGTTTCCAGTGAATATTTTTGTGCTTATCTATTTTTCCCTTCTAAAGATTATTTCTTTAGGATAGATTTCCAGTGAGTCAAAAGATATGAACAGGTATATGACACTTAAAATTATATTCCCAAAATGTCACCCTTAATTTTTGCATTGAAGGAAATGACTGGCATTTTCATTTTATCGTGAAACCTTTGTCTGCCCATGGGCAAGTCACCATTTTGGGAAGAAATGGTCTAGTGTGGCTGCTTGTATGTAATAAAACTGGATCTGTAAGCAACACACTCCATTAAACAGTGATTCTGAGCAGGAGCTTCAGACCAGAATGCGTGTTGGCCAGCATGCTGATGGCCTGGGCTCGAGAAGCAGCCTCCAAGTGACTTTGAGAACCAGAGTGGGAGTGTAGGCTGTGTGCAGCAAGAAAAGAACATTGCACGACAGTGTTGGATACACCTGCCTTCTGCAGCTGTAATCCCAAAGCAATTATGAAGCACAGCATTAGAAGCATTCTAAAATCTACCTTGGTTACCTCTTTTAATAATAGTTTCTAAAATTTCCATTAAAAGTCTGTGTGGCCATACTAGCAAAAAGCACCATATTAGTACACAGCAAATAATTCCTTTAATGTCAGGTCAAGTGGGATATTAAAGGAGAAACTGTCTTTTGTCCCAAAGTGGGCATAAAATTATTTCACCTTTCTGTTGTTGTCATTTTAGCTCTTTTCTATGTTTCTATCATGTATGCAGGGCCAGTGGTGGTTCCGTAGTAGAATTTTCACCTTGCATGTGGGAGACCCAGCTTTGATTCCCAGCCAACTCACCTCATGTGCAGCCACCACCCACCTGTCAGTGGTGGCTTGCGTGTTGCTATGATGCTGAACAGGTTCAATGGCACTTCCAGACTAAGACCAGGAAGAAAGGCCTGGTGATCTACTTCCAAAAATCAGCCAGTGAAAACCCTATGATCACAGTAGTCCAGTCCACAACCCATCATGAGGATGGCGAAGACTGGGCAGGATTTCATTCCATTGTACACAGGGTTGCCATGAGTAAGGGGCTGACTCAGTGGTTGCTAACAACAAATTATGTACTGAACATCCAAAATGGAAATTAAAAATTATTTTTTATTTGGAGTTATCCTATTCCTTGAATTCTCAAAATATTTATGCTATCAATTTGTCTTTCCTTAGTCAAAAATTATTAGCTAGGTGATAGTTTGGATAATTTATGATTTTCTATGACTTGTCTGGTATAATTGAGAAGTACCTCAAAGCCTAAGTTACAATTTTATATTATAGAGTTTATATTATAGTGTATAACATATACATATACATAGTACATGCATAATATATAGTACATATAATATTTATATTATAGTGTTACAAATGCATTTAATGTATATAATGCAGTGTTATGGAGGCATTTATATGGAAACCAAAAAGAATAAGGGAAGAATGGCCATTTAACCTATGTGAGAAGATTTCAGGTTTGTTCTCTCTGCGTGCTAAGGGCTAGTCATTTAGAGGGTTAAACAGTCTTGACATCTTGAACATGGTACTCCGTTTCTATTCATTAACTACCACAGTTTTGTACACTTAAGGATGGTGTACACTTTCCTGCATATGGGTCTATGTATGTGAGTACAGTTGAACATACGCACATTTTAAATTAGAAAAAGCTGGAAATGAGATGAGATTTCATGGCAATTGGAACAAAACTGAGTTGGGCGGAACAACCTATTGATTTCAAAAGCAAACATAACATTGCTCTTGTTCATTTTTTGAGGACAGGACAAATTCAAGAATAGTTACAATCGTGCTTTTGGTAGTGGTCCTACCTGCATTCCTCTGGAATGGCAGTGACTGAAAGGTAGGAGTGTCACTGTGCTGTAGTTACTTCCTGTGCTTCCCAGTCCAGCCTGTGAGCCACATCCAGCCTCTGAATCCGACCGAATCAGCAGGATGTGGCCGGGCCTCTGCGAGCTGGGTTCACAGTCACTGTTTCTATTGGCAGCTGTTCCCCAGTGATAAAAGATGAGACTCTCCAGGATGAGAAATTTCAGCTAACATCAACATTGGGTCTGTTGTGTAAATAAACCTAAGAGCCTTTCATTCCTTTCCACTGAAATATGTGACTTGACCTACGCAGTTTTCATTTTTTCCTAAACAATTTCTTTCTGCAAAATAACACACCAGTGTTAAAGGTTGGGGTGGAAAGAAAACAACTCTTATTCACATCCACGTTTCCTTGTCTCCCCCCACAGGAGCAGTTTGAGTTTGCGTTGACCGCGGTAGCCGAGGAGGTGAATGCGATTCTCAAAGCCCTTCCACAATAAGCGTCGGATTTTCCTGGAGGGCTCAGAGGAGTCCCCCACTAACCCTTCTGAATGTTGTTGGGAACCGTGATATGACTTCAGTTGTGTGTCTCCTATGGTAACTGCATAGTAATAGGGTCTTTAAAATGCCTATAGTCAGTACAGTTTAACAATTAAAAATGTGTATTTTTGTTCAACCAAATAATAATAAAGAAAGATTCGTGGAAACATCCAGTTACGGGGGGAGGTCAGTTCATCTAAGTATTTTCACTTTTTGGGGAAAAAAATCACTTTTCCTTAAAGCACGCATTCACATTCCTAATTGCAAATAATGCCGTCTTAGTGATGCAGCTATTATTAGTACATTCTCCATGGTCTCCAAGGTGTGTGCTTGTGATCTGTAACTTCTGAAGGAGGAATCGGCTGTGCAGGGAGGGGCCCAAAGCTAACTGGCAAAGCTTTAAACGAAGGCTCCCAGGGGTAGAAATAGCATTTGGCATTTGTCTTTAGAACGATTTATTATTGGGAGAAACCACTGACTTATTCAGGAGTCAGTCAGAAGATCTATTAACATTCTATAGTGCTGGGGCAAGTAACAGTAAGGAAACGTCGCAGCCTTCTGTTCTGCTGACATACAGCTAGTTGGCGTGCCCCCATTGACACTGTCACTGGCCCAGATCAGCTTTCCCCTTGGCGCCTGCACAGAGGAGGGATTGCAGGGCTTTCCTTCTGTGGGCTGTCCTTCCTGCAGTCCACAAGGCCCAGGCACGCTTATGACACTTTCGCCTTTGTATTGCAAAACTGTTGATTGCCCCAACCTGGAGGCATGGTTTTTTAAGCTTGAAAATACTGATTTACACATTGCAAAAACAGATCTACCTAATGAACACTTCCTGTGAGATAACCAGAATTAGGAAGACAATCTAGGCATTTAACCATCACTGAGGGTCCCAAAGAGCTTATAAGCTCCAATCAAACAGCTGTGACTTCCTCCCAAGGAATGCTTCTAGGCCCTGCTGGCATCTAGAAAAGACCTGTGGATAGTTTCACTCATTTCCTAGACAGAAGAAAATGCAAGAAGAGCCACTTTTTTTTTTTTTTTTTTTTGCTTTATCTATGTGGAGTCCCTATGGGGTTCAACACTTAACACCCTTGGCTGTTAACCAAAAGGTTGGAGGTTCCGGTCCACCCAGAGGCTCCTCAGAAGAAAGGCCTGGCAATCTACTTCCAAAAAATCAGCCGTTGAAAACCCTATGGAGTGCAGTTCTACTCTGACACACATGAGGTTGCCATGAGTCAGAACTGACTCCACGGCAGCTGGTTTTGGTTATGTGAGATCATAACAATTGGAAAAAAAGTGAAAAATGCCATTGGTCACCTGTCACTTCATCCCAGGGCGCTAGGACTCCTGGAGTGACCAAAGTGCTCTCTTCACTGACGCCCACCAGTGACCTCATGTAACGGCCAGCGTGGACCTACACACTTAAAGCAATGACCTGAATGTGCCAAAATAACACTGAGCATCAAATTTACCCCTCCCCCCAGAAATGGAAAAACTCATTAAGCTCAGAATGGTGACATCTGAGGAAGCATGGGGTGTTCTCTGTGTGCTGCAGACTTTATTTGCAGGGTTAGGCACAAAAAGACATGTCCAGTAGATTTCCATCCTGCTCTATTCCACATCATTCTTTCCATTTTAAACGCTACATTTCAGAAAGTGGTAACATAGGGAAAATGGGCTAATGAATGGGAAAAGAGATGTCAAAATATTGTTTATGTCTTTAAATGGTATTGTACTGTGTATCTGCTTTAATATATCTATCATTACTTTTCCAAATTTTTTTCTCTAACTGGAATTTAAATAATAAATAGAAACTAGTTTATCTGAATATAGAAAGCATATACCTACTTGTAATTTCTAACTTCTTATATTTCAAAAGAAATCCTCCAGCGTGAGATATACATAGATATATTTAATTGTGTCATATTAAACTTTTGATTTCACATTGGAGTGGTCTTTATTTGAGGATGAAAGAGTAATTTTTTTTTGCTATCCATCTGTTTTTTTCCCTGGAAGTATTGATCGTTTAGATTGTTAAAACAGAAAGTGAACACTTCTTAGAACTCTAGATCGTATTGTTATTTTATTTGCTGAGTTAGATATGCACTAAGGGCTGGAATGTCGCTGAAATTTTATTTTTAGAAAAGTAATTAAGCAGTTTAATGAAAAGCTTCATACATGGCCTGTGCTCTAAGTATTGTCTTGCTCTTTTCTTGGACTTGCAACGGCTCGGGTTCAACATCCCACAAAGAAGCCATTAGAGGCACTCTCTTCCTTCCTCATTCCTGGTGCTGAAGGCAGGACATTCCACTACCTCATGTAGAGCAGGGACCCTATAACAGTGAGTCTCAAAATGCTTTCCTGCCAAAGGGTTCTTGCTGTGTTTCACCTAAAGCTCCAATTCCGTTGGAAGATTTACTCTTCTGTCCTCGATGGAATGAAGACCTGGTCATCCCTGGCCGTACAATAACCATCCCTCCATTTAACAACAGAAAAAAGCATTTGAAAGCATTTCAAGCAAGAGCTCAAGGGAAAAGGCACTACTGGGGTTTGGTTTTGTTACTTAGCTTTCATCATTTACTGGTCAATTTTAGCTGACAATGACGAGAGGTAAAGATTGGTTGAGTCAGTTTATCACAAAATTATATACTTTCTGAATAAGGGGTGTGGTGCCCATCTAAATGCTGGTGTTCATTTTTTTAAGAAATCAGCCATTAAATCTCAGTTGATCAACTTCTAGTTACATTCTTATGAGCTCAGTCTCTCTTAGAATCTCCCTTCCGGAGTTTGCATTAGTGTTAGAATCCTCCCTGAGTATTCATGAAACCTCCGCTTTTTATTTAATGTAAAAGTATAACTGATGACATTGTCACTAAATTTTTCATATAAACATGTATTCTAATATGTAAAGATTTTCATGATAAACGTATTTCAGAATTTAAGACTAGGGAAGATATGGCAGACTGAGATGACATGTAAAGATTCCTCTCCTGTTATAAATATTTTAAAATGCTAGACAAAATGTACTTAAAAAATTAGAGGGAAAGCTTCAGGTGCTTGTTGCAAAAAGGGAACTCAAGATCAGTGTGGTGAAAGTAGTTGACACTAAGGTGGCCCACAAGGGCTAAGACCAGGGTTCTAATGTCCACTTGGGGTCAGGATAAATGGGCTCAGGGCAGTGGGGTACTGGCAGATGTTTGAAAGCCAGCTCTTTGAAAAAATGCAGACATAGAAGTGTGCTTAAGTTTGTTGTGAGATTTACTGATAAAAGATACATAGTCCACTACCTATAACCAATAATAACATATGCAGTGCTCTTTATTATAAATTCCACATAGCTTATTGATTCTTACAGAATCCTGTCTTTGATATTTTCAGAACTCTCACTTCCCTAGCCAAACTATTGTTGCAATTGGTGAACGAGTGTCGTCTGGACTGAATGTTAGTTGACGTTTTCATTTACCATAACAAGTAGGAGACAAGTGAAACAATGAAGACTTCTGCCACAACTTCATGCACTCAATGACGTTAATGACTTCTTTGCCAAATTGGATAAAAGTTTTGAATACTGGAAGAATATTTCCTCAGTTTCTTTAAGTTTAATCGGCATTATTAGTGTTTTCTTTCTCAAAGTCTAGATAATCAACAACAACAAAAAAATGAGTCCCTGAATTGTAGCATTTGCTAATTTTTGTGATGTGAATATGCACACTATGAATGATTTCAAATCAAGATAACAATGTGATGTTATTGAATGTGGTGTTGGGAAGTGCTGCACAGAGAACACCATTATGTAGTGCTCCCAGCATACAGATGCAATAGATGAAAGTACTAAGAGTATAGATAATAGCAAAATATAGTAAAAATAATTAGGAAGTGATAAATTTTCATTATGTATTTCCTGTGTTTTAATAATTTGTATAATTTAATTTTTTTTAATGGTCGTATTAACAACTAGCTCACAAACTCCTAAAAATTTAACAGTCTGGTACAAGTTGGCTCCCATACACCACTACCTCAGAGGCACACGTGAAGAGAGATGGAACTAAGGCTGCTGAAAAAAAAAAAAATGGAGTTTGAAGGACTGGCCTGTCAAACTGTCTAGCTGGAGAAAGAAAGTCCTATGCAACAACAGGTTGTGGTATCCAAATTTACCCTATCCACGTGGTACAGGAAATCTAAGCTGGAGAATTAGGGTCAAAAACCGATCCAAGACCAATGGAACCCTGGGGGTCCCAACATGACTGTAGGCAAAACCACTCTGCACGGAACATTCCCAACCCAGAACCCATTGGACACCCACAGAAAAAATGACTCCCATGAAGATTAGCTCTTAATAAATAAAAAATTACAAAGCACATGAGGAAAGGGACTATACTGAGAGAGTCGGCTGACACTTGAAGAAATGCATATAATACAGCAATAAGAGAAAGGCAAAAAGAACTGATATGTTTAAAATGTTAATAGCATATAAGAAGAAGGACAGTATGAAAAAAAGGACAAGTGGTTCCAGTGTAGATGACATCCCAAACAGAAAGAGCGTTACAGGTCTCAGAACAGCCGGGTACTCTAAAGTTCAACACTCAACCACAATGCTAAAATGACCTGCTCTTCTTCCCTCAGGTTGTCACACTTGGTATGGAACTAGTCTTTTTAGGCTTCTAATTATTCACTATCAGGTATGACCTGAGTTATACAGTGTCCCCCCAAAATTCATGTCTTTCCCAGAACCTCAGAATGTGACTTATTTGGAAACAGGGTCGGTGCAGATGTACTTAGTTAAGATGAGGTCATTCTGGAGTAGGTGAGCCCTAATACAACATGAATGATGTCCTCATAAGAAGAGGAAAGACATAAAGACACAGACACACAGGGAAGAATGCCATATGATGATGGAGGCAGAAATTGAAGTGATTCCTTTACAGGTCAAGGAACACCAAGCATTGCCAGCAACCACCAG